GTCTTAATTTGCCAAAGTTATAGAATGTTGTCCACGTAAATCAGCCAACCTCCTGCCAAGCTTTATCTGAGATCCAAACCATAAAAACAACAGCCCACTCAGCATTTTACACAAGACGTGTAAATTTCACCTATGGCCAAGTCAGGGGGACCCACATTCTGTCTCTGGGCATAACACTGCTTCCGGGAGGCGCCACCGGGAGCAAATCCCGGAGGCAGGCCCGCGGGGCTCCGGTCCGCGGGGACGGGGTGGGGGTCGGCCCCGGGGGAGCGGCCCCGCACGCCCCTCCGCCCGCTCCCGGGCCAGGCGGCCGGAGGCGGCGGCCGGCGGCGCGGGAGATCGCGGAGATTGGGCCGGAGCGAGGCGCGATCGGGTTTCGCGCTGTCAGGCAGAGCGCCGGCGAGATTGTCAGATCCTGACCCGGGAGGCCCGGGGCGGCCGCGGGCCGGGCGGGCGCCCCGCCGGGAGCCGGGCGCGTCCTGCACGTGCGCCGGACCCCGCCGAGCGGCCCCGCGGGCGCCTGGCGGCCGGGCCGCGCCGGGCAGATAACGCGTAACCGGAGCGGCCGCACGCGCCGCCGGCAGGCCGCTGGCTGGGGGCCCGCGGCGGAGGCCGCGCCGGCAGCCGTCCCGCTCCTTCTTCCCCGCGGCGCCGCCGACCCTCCTCCTCCCGCCGGGAAGCCGGCGTGTCTGCGGGCGGCGGCCCCGCCTCGGCCCGCGGCCCCCGCTGCCTACCTGGTCGTCCTCAAAAATGATTTTGGCTGGGATTTCCTTGCGAATGATCTTCCCGAAGATCGTGTCGCCACCAGGCCGAGCGGCCTGGGCCTTGGCGACCTCATCTGCCATCGCGGCCTCGCTTCCGCAGGGCTCCGGGGGCGCAGCTCCGGCGGGAGCGGGGGAGGGAGGAGGGAGGAGGGAGGAGCTGCGAGCGGCGGGCGGCGCGGGGACCGCTGCTCGGGGCCCAGCGGCTCTGCGCCTGCGCACGGGCGGCCGGCGCGGCGGGCGCGAGGGCGCGGGAGGGGAGCGGCCCGCGCGACCCAGCCTGCGGCAGGTTTATTCTCGATCCCAGGCTTCCCGAGCCGCGGTGAGGTCGTTTTTCTTTATTCTTTTCTTGTCTCAAGAGAGTGGAGGTGCTCGTATAAGCCAGGTTTCGCTGGCTTTAAGGATCCTTGTAGGAAAACTGGTTGCTGTAACGAAAGATTTGATGGTCCAGTGTGTGCTGGGTGAGACACCGTGCCTGACAGTTTCACTTCTCAGCTGCAGTAGGTCTGGCTCCAAGATTTAAGCCCTCCTCGCATCATTTATTCCCCCCTCTAACAGTGACTCTCAACCTGAGCTGCACGTTAGACTCGCTTGGAGAGCGTTTAGAAAACCTGGCTGCAACCCAGATCAATTCAATCAGTAGTATGTAAACCTCTCTACCCTGTTGTACGAAGAGTTTTTCCCAGCAGTACCCAACATAAAGTCAAATGCCTCACCTTAAAGTACCTAAACCTGCCTTAACCCACAGCCTCCTCCACGTTTTTGCTCCTTTTTAAGATATGTATATATATTTCTCATCTCTTCTGAGCCTATTTCCCTCTTGTTAAAATCATTGAGAACCTCTGCTTACAAAATCCTATAGGTGATTCTAGTTATCAAACTGGACCTCTTGGCACCATTGGCCACTGCTGACCATGACCTCTCCTCAGCAATAGGCCGCTCCCCAACCTCTCCGGATGCTATTTCTCCTTTACAGTGAGCATCCTGTCCCAGGACTCTCAGTGCAGAATGCTCTGGGCCCTCTTCTCTAGCCAGCAATCTCCAAGTGTCCTTATTAAGAAAAATTAACTACACCTCCTGGACAACCCTAAATTATTTTATTTTACCACTTTCTCTTGGCAAAATTACAGATAGCGGCCCCCTTACATATCAGAAGTTCATTTGTTATTTTTGCTATCAAAGGCATTACTAGGACAATTGGAAAAAATCTAAATAATGCCTGTAAATTATATAATAGTTCTGAAAATCATGCTAATTTCTTCACATACCCTCAGCAAAATTATCAAAATAAATTGATATACCGGTATATGCTGGGGCTCTATAACTTAGGTTTATAAAATGTTTCCCAGTGATGCAGTTGCTGCTGGGCCTGAAACCATACTTGGAGAACCACTGATGTAAGAGAATGTCTTTTTTATAGGAAACAACCCACTAAAATTATTTAGCAGTATAAGGGTTTCATGTTCACAATTCACTGTCAAACAGCAAAGAAGTTTTTTAAAAATCCATATCCATATGTAGATTAAAAAAAAAAGATAAAGCAGTTGTGATAAAATGTTAACATTTGGGGGATCTGAGTGAAAGGTATCTGAAAATTCTGTCATTGGAAAATTTTCTGTAAGTCTGAAATTGTCAAAAAGTTAAAAAGAAAAATATGTACTGGTTTAGATAATAAATGATATGGTCACCTTTCATTAAGTCTGAGGGCTTTATCATCTACAGAGAAATGACTTTCCAGTATTTATCATCTAACCTATTTCTTCCCTTAATTCCAATTTGGTTTATGGTATATAATACTGCCCACTCACCACCTCCATTTGGATGTCTATTAGGCATTTCAAATTTATCTTTGCTTTCAATTGTTTGTATCACAATAAACAATCAAACAGAAAGCCCCCTCCTGCAGAATTCCGTATCTACTGTGATGCCATTCATTGAATTGCTCAAGCCAAAAGCCTAGGAATCATCCTGAACTTTTCTGTGTGTACTTTCAGCACATTTCATGAATATAATCATTTCTCACCTCTATTCCACCATCCTAATCCAAGCTACTATCATACACACTGAGTGGCCGGATTATTATGATCTCTGAACGCATAATAATCTGGCCACTCAGTGTATATCTATATAATAAAAGGCTAATATGCAAATTGTCCCCTCAACCTGGAGTTCGACTAGCAGGCAGGCCGGCCAACTGTCCATGTCCCTTCCCCCTGCACCAGGCCTCTAATATATATATATGTGTGTATATATATTGAGTAGCCAGATTATTATGCATTCAGAGATCATAATAATATAACCACTCAGTGTAGATGGCCATGTCCTAATCTCAGGAGCATATGAGTAGGTTACTTTAAATGGTAAAGGGGATTTGCTTGTGTAATTAAGTTAAGGATCTTGAGGTGTGGAGATTCCTGGATTTTTTTTCAGGTGGGGCCAATATAATCGCAGGGGCTTTTATAAGTGAAAGAGGAACATAAGAGACGAGAATCAGATGAGATATGATCATGAAAGCAGGGATGAGGCTTTGATAGTAGGTGCTATCCTATTGGCTTTGAAGATGGAAAAGGCCACAAGCAGATGGCTTCTTGGAAGTCAGAAACCCAAATTGGGTTTCACTGAGCTAAAATTATGGTGTCAACAGGCCTGCACTCCAGAGGATCTAGGAGAGGATAGTTTCCTTCTCTTGTCCAGTTTCTAGAGGCCAATGCATTCCTTGGTTTGGGGCCCCTTCCTCTATCTTCAAAGCCAGAAGCAGAGCATTTTCGTCTTTCAATCCTCTCCCTAACTCTGCTTCCTTCTTCCACTTATATGGATTCTTGTGATTGATTATCTTGGGCCCACCTGACAATCCAGGATAATCATCCCATCTCAAAATCTTTAATTTCATCACTCCTGCAAAGTCCCTTTTGTCATGTAAGGAACATATTCAGAAGTTCCTAGAATTTTGTAAGCCATTTTTCTGCCTACCACATAGCTCCAAGAACTTACATGAATGATGAATATGTTGGAATTTCCTGTTCAGTTCTGGGTCCCACACCAATCAAGACATATTCCCAGAACAACCAGAACAGTCACCCCATTTATAAAAAAATAAAAAATTGAAGGAACCATAGAGGTTTATCTAAAAAAAAAAAAAAAGAGGCTTCAGGACTGAACCGATTTGGGTACTATGGAAACAATGTATTTTCAAACATTAACTGAATACAGAACCCCAGTTAGCCAGACCTTATAACAATAAATTATAAACTTTCAGGAAATTGAGCTATGATCTTAATCTGGAAATGAAAATAAGCAATTTTTAATCATTCATTAGCAATCAGAAGACTCTAATGCAATGTCATAAGATCATCTTATTGTTTCCTGGATAAAAGAAAGTACCCATTATATTTGGTTTAATTGTTTGATTACATTAAACACTTCTACAAACCTAATGCATTCTAATAGAAAAGTAAAGTCAACTCAAAAATATGGAGATGTAAAGTACAGCATAGGGAATATAATCAATAATATTGTATAACTATGTATGGTGCCATCTGGGTACTAGAAAGATCACTTGGTAAATGATGTTAAGTGTCTAACCACTATGCTGTACACCTGAAACTAATACAAAATAATATTGAATGTCAACTTTTTAATTCTAAAAAAAAGCAAAGTGGATAATTACCTTGCTATTTTCATGACGAATTTCCAATTATGTAAATTAGAGAAGGAAAAGGAAGGGTGTTGGAGACCCATTGCTCAAAACCGTTTCATTTTTAATAAAGTCAGTTTTACCTAGAAGTTAACCTAACCTGAAAGGCTGTAGGGGTACAAAAGGCAAACAATGATTATGCAATGGGAACAAAGTTAAGATTTTTCCTGATGCTTGCAAGATCATAAGTTAAAATGTATTTAAATAAATGCTTTATGATTGTTTATGATCGTGATGCTGCTAATAAACTATTTCTGACCTCTTGACTAGCAAAAAAAGGAGTAAGGCAAGTTGAGCAGGCTGGATGTGTAGAGGGTAAAACTAAGCTTTCAGGTTAGGCATAGAGATTTGTATCCCCGAACTCCATCTACTAGTCTTGAGGTCTTAAGCAAGTAACAGCGGAACCTTCTGGGGAAATTAAATTAGAAAATGCAGGCATAGCACTTTTGGGAGTCAGCGTTCCAATCAATGTCTGTTCGCTACAGTTGTTATGACTGGGCTCTTATTTATGCACTTTTGCAAGAACAGACGCAACGTAAAAAAAAAAAAAAGAGAGAGAGAGAGAGTTCTTTAATAAATGAGCTCAGTCCCAAAACCGGAGGTAGCGAACAGTATGGTATGTTGGTACCGAAGCGCTCTATTAAATCCCAACCCACTCTCCGCCACCAGAGGGTTGCAGCAGAAGTAACGGGAAGTGACTCTGCCCCTAACTAACATGGCGCCCAGGTGATTTCCGTTCTCCTCTCTACGGTTACATTCATTGGCCACGGCAGCGTCTCGCGGTTTTACCAGACGTCACTGGTTCAGCAAACTATTCTCTCCCGGTTCTCCCTGGGAGGCGGGGCTACGGAGAGATGCTGCTTGGTGATTGGTTGCAGCGCGTTAGGAAATTGTCCTGCGCACGCCCCGGCCGCGGTTGATTGCCGAGAGGCGGGGCGACTCGACTGCTGAAGAGGTAGCTGCCGCTGTGGGAGAAGCATGGGTCAGGCGGCCAAGGTGACAGGGCCTGGGGAGGTGTTGGGTGCGATGCCGACCGGGGAGAGCGGCGGCTGGCGGGGGGGTGGAGGGGAGGGTAAGAGCGCAGCCTGACGAAAGATATACGGGTTCAGGCCCTCCTCGGAGGACTGGTTTTCGGGTTGTGCAGGTGTGGAAGAGGGGTGGGGGGCACCTATGGTTCCTAGTTCTTAATCTGCTTGGGTACCGAGTGTGTTGAGTAATGCCAGAGTTGAGCTCCGCCCGCGGTTCATCTCCCCGCCGAGTATCTGTCTGAGGGACCCGTTTCCCCTCCGTGGGAAGGTGCCGGGGACGCTGACGGCATCCCTGCGCCCCACGCACCCGAGGAGGTGAAAGGTGTGGTCTAGTCATGTAATTGGAAGGTACGCAGAGGTCTGGGGACCAAGGAAGTCAGCGCAGTCACTTACCAGAGTAACACTCCGCGACACAGAGCAGAGACCCACGTTCCCTGAATGAGCTTGGGAAGCAGTGGTCCTGCCGGGGTCACATGGTCTCAGGTTCATTTCTCGCCACCGTTACACGTTCCTGGCCGGTGCACAATTTCATGGGCTAGCCATCCCTAACCTTCATCAGCATGGCAGGTTGAGAACTGTCCCTGTCACTGGCTGAAACTCAGGCATTAGAAGGGGGAAATGGCCTGCTTCAATATAGTGAGGAAGAACAATGCTATGGTCAGTAATAGGTAGCCAGCCTCCAAGCAATGCCTCATCTACTACTGAACTTGGCGTTCTCAGTATGTTTTAATATACATGCCAGCACCAGTAGAAACAATTGTAAAGGGTTATTCATTTTAAACTTTTATTGAGTTTACATGATAGCTATTAGTAATACCTAAGACCCAACATTTAGCCTATACTTTTAAGGCATAGTGGGTGCAACAATAAACAGACCACCTTTGCCTTCATACAGAAGTCTAGCAGGTCAGAAACCTTTAACAATTACTTAATTAGAATTGTATTAAGTGCGTTGAGCTACAATAGTGTATTTTGTGTGCATATAATTGGGATTTAACTTAATCTGGAGGGATGCAAAACAATATTTCATAGAAGTTTAAGTTAGGTTGAGATGTGAAGTTTAATTAGAAATAGGTAGGAGAAGAGAGAAAAAGACCATTTCAGAAAGAAGAAGTAGCATATAGAAAGTTCTTGAAAAGGAAAATCGCTTGGAAAACTTGAATACAAATGAAAGGATTTGTTCCAAAAACACTTTAGTCAGGCCTATAATGTAGAAGACACCTATGCCAAGTGTGGAGGATACAGAGGTAACCAAGAAGCCTCTGAAGAAGTATGGTACAGCAAGTGAGCCATTACATTAACATACAGTGTAGCAAGTGCCCGATGCTGGGATGTGCTCAGGAGGGCATATAACCCAGACTTAAAAGGTGTCTCTATCTATAAAAGCCTAAGCGACCATCGCAACCGAACAGACGACCAAACAGGCTGCACGGGGCGACCAGGCCTGCAGGAGGATTACTGAGGGGTGACCAAACGACCGAGCAGCAGCTGAGTGAGGTGACCAGGCCGGCAGGGGGTTAGTGAGAAGAAACCAAGCCAGTAGAGGGGGCAGTGAGGGGCAAGCGGCAACCAGGCTGGTGGGGGCAGAGGGTGCAATTGGTGATGACCAGGTCGCCGGGGGGGGGGGGGGGGGGGGGAGCAATATGGGGCAACCAGTCTGGCGGAGGTTGGGGGGGCAGTTAGGGGCAACCAGGCTGGTGGGGAGGGAAGTTGGGTGAGACTAGGCCTGTGGTGGGGGGAGGAAGCATGGGAAGTTGGGGGTGACAAGACCAGCAAGGGCAGCAGTTAGGGGCAATCAGGCAGGCAGGCAGGCAGGTGAGCAGTTAGGAGCCAGTAGTTCTGGGTTGTGAGAGGGATGATCACCAGGATTGGACCTAAACTGGCAGTTGGACATCACCCAAGGGGTTCCGGATTGGAGAGGGTGCAGGCTGGGCTGAGCCCCCCCTTCCCCCCAATGCACAAATTTCATCCACTGGGCCTCTAGTAGATAATAACTACAGTGAAACCTAGTATAGAAATTATACCATACACCCTTAAAATTACTTCATTATTAAAAAAAAAAAAAAAAAAAACCGAGGCAAAAAGTCCAAGCTTATAATAAATGGCAATGTCAGATTCAAACTAATCTGTGAAGAATACATTTCTATATACACTGCCTAAATTTGACAAGTCAGTATAAGTAAATGGGAAAGAGAAGACAATATGTGACTTAACTTTCTGCTTTTTAGAAGTCCAATGCACTATCCATTATGCGACGAGCCAAGCAGCTTTCTATTTTTTAATAAAAGTTAATTACTCCAACATGATAGTAGCTCTGATAGCCCCAAGGCAATAATGAATGATGACCTCAACTTAGTTATAACTACAAAGACCCCATCCTATATACAATAATAAAGGCTAATATACAAATCAACCGAACAGTAGAATGCCCAGTCACTATGACATGCACTGACCACGAGGGGGTAGACACTCAATGCAATTCCTGTCCCTGTCACCGGGAGTTGGGAGCACCGCTCAGCCAGAAGCCGGGCGCAGACATCCTCTGAGGGCTCCCGTACTGCGAGAGGGCGCAGGCCGAGAGGGCGTAGGCCGGGCTGAAGGATGCCGCCCCCACACCTGAGTGCACAAATTTCGTGCACCAAGCCTCTAGTTTCCAAATAAGGTCACATTTGTAGGTGCTAGGGATTAGGACTTCAATATGTCTTGGGGATAGAACACATTATATTTACCCATTTATGAATTGATGAACATTTGGGTGGTTACTTTTTGTCACTATTATAAATAGATACTGTGGACATTCATATATAAGTTTTGTGTGAATACACATTTTATTTTTCTTTGGTATATACCCAGCCAGGTCATATTATAACTCTGTTTAATTTTTAAGCAACTGCCAAGCATTTCCAAAATGGCTGCACCATTTTACATTCCCACCAACAATCTATACATCCCAATATTTCCACATTCTTGTCAACATTTGTTTTTTACTATCTTTTTTACTGTATCCCTTCTACTGGAGTGAAGTAGTATCACTGAGATTTAAATTTGTATTTCCCTAGTGGCAAACGTTGAACATCTTTCTTTTGCCTTAATAGCCATTTGTTTGTCTTCTTTGCAGAAATGTCTATTCAAATCCTTTGCCTATTTAAAAAAAAATGTTTTATTATTGAGTTGTTCTTTATATGTTTTAGATAGCTGGCCCTTTATCAGATATAAGGTTTGCAAATATCTTCTCCCATTCTGTGGGATGTCTTTTCTCTTTTTGATCCTATCCTTTCCCTTTCTCACTTAAAATTTTTGTTTTTATAAAGGTGATAAATGTGTAGTAAAGATTAAGAAATAGTTGGCTAGTTGGTTCTGTATCCTGGTGCTGCATTATTTTGGAGCCCAAGTGGTCCCTTAGCTGAGATGCCTGAGGAAACCCAGACTCACAACCAATTGATGGAGGGAGAAGAGGTTGAGTTGTTTGCCTTTCAGGTAGAAGTTGCCCAGTTGATGTCACTGATCATTACTATTTCCTACTTGAATAAAGAGATATTTTTTAAAATATATTTTTATTGATTTTTTTACAGAGAGGAAGGGAAAGAGATAGAGAGCCAGAAACGTCGATGAGAGAGAAACACCGACCAGCTGCCTCTTGCACACCCCCCACCGGGGATGTGCCCGCAACCAACTTACATGCCCCTGACCGGAATCGAACCTGGGACCTTTCAGTCCGCAGACCGACGCTCTACCACTGAGCCAAAGCGGTTTCGGCAAAGAGATATTTCTGAGGGAACTTATTTCAGATTCATCAGATCCACTGGACAATAGCAGCTGTGAACGCTTGTCAGATCCCAGTAAACTGGACTCGGGGAAAGAATTGCACATCAACTTCATTCCAAACAAATATGACCAAGCTCTCACTATCGTGGATACTGGAATTGAATGGCCAAGGCTGATTTGATCAATAATCTTGGTACTATTGCCAAGTCTGAGACCAAAGCATTCATGGAAGCTTTACATGCTGGTGCAGATATCTCTATGATTGGCCATTATGGTGTCAGGTTGTAATTAGCCTATTTGGTTGCTGAAAAGGTGCCCATAACCAAATCTAACAATGATGAGCAGTATGCCTGGGAATCGTCCCAGTAAGATTGTTCACAGTTAGGACTGACACAGTAAACAGCGCTCATCCTGAATCTGAAAGAAGACCAGACCAAGTATTTGGAGGAGAGAAATATAAAGGAGATTGTGGGGGGAAAAAACCACTAAATTTATTGGATACTCCCTTACTTTTTTGGGGAGAAGAATGTGGTAAAGAAGTCAGTAATAATGAGGCTGAAGAAAAGGAAAAGGAAGAGAAAGAGGAAGATTAAAAAAAAAAAAAAAAGAGCCCAGCCAGTGTTGCTCAGTGGTTGAGCCTCGACCTATGGACTAGGAGGTCCTAGTTCGATTCCCAGGGCGCAGACCCCCGGTTGAGGTTATGGGCTTGAAACCCACAGGGGGGCGTGCAGGAGGTGGACAATAGGTGGTTCTCTCTCATTGTTGATGTTTCTCTCCTCTCCCTTCCTCTCTAAAATAAATAAAAATGTATTTTAAAAAAGAAGAAAAGGAGTCCAGTGACAAACCTGAAATCAAAGATATTGGTTCTAAGCAGAACTAGTTTTTCTCTTCTAGTTTCATGTTGGCTTATTTTAACAGAATGAGGTTGTGTTTGTTGTGAGAAGTGTGTAACCTAATGCTTGTTAACATTGTGGCCTAACTCTAAAGTGTTTAGCTTTCAGGTGGGTTCCTTAGTAGACCAAATCTTTTGTCACTGAAATGTTTTGAGATAAATATGGTTAAAACAACTTTCATCCCCTAGGGTCTGCTTCTTAAACCTTCTATCTCTGTATTTATCAACTGCATGTATGGCCTCTAGAAATTAGTATACTAAGCTGAACCAATCTGACGGGAGTAATTATCCATAGGTTTGTTTTCTAAAGAAAAGTATTACTTAGAGAAGCAAAATTATAAGCTCACCTAGGCATACTGTAAAGCCATTTGAAAGTAACTTAGATCAAGTTTTGTGAATGGAAATGTAGTGTCAAGTCACATTCTGCTTTAAAAAGGTTGTGACAAATGCAGATGAATTAAAAAGAATGTTACACAAATGCTAGTAGGTATCTACCTCCGTCCACATACTCCTAATTCCTGCTCTCCTGAGATAAGAGCTTTTAATCATTTTAGCTATTCCTTCTGATATTTACCTCCATGTCTCTAAACATGCTTAAACTACTATTTATTTTCTCTTTGGAGATATTATTTGTTGACTTTTTACATTGGAGGTTGAAGACTAAGCTTCCCCTTACAGCCTATTCTTCACAATGTACACATTTTGGTGAATCAGTTTTCGTCTCTGATATTATTTGACTGTAAAATTTATCCACAGCTGAGATCTCTAATATAACTATACTAATAGCCCTGTGCACAAATCCATGCACCAGTAGCTCTCTGCAGGGCCTGGCCACTCCACACCCACTGCCCAGAGGCTCTCCGCGGCCCAGAGGCCCGTCTGCAGCCAGGTGTGGAACACTCGTCTCATCGCTGGGGCCACGATGCAAGCATTCCCCGCTTCAGGCCTCACCCAGCCGCTCCACGCCCACTGCCCAGAGGCTCTCAAAGGCCAGGTGGAATGCTTGCCTGTCACCGCGGCGGCGCTGAAGCAAGCATTCCACCAGCGCACTCCGCGGCCTGCTCCCGCCGGCCACCCCCCCCCCCCCCCCCCTCCCACACACACACACACACACTCCTGACAGGGAGACTGGCGTGGTTGAGAGGACTGGGCACCACCATCTTGTGGCTATGGGCGTCATCATCTTTGTGACAGAATGATGGTTAATTTGCATATTACTCTTTTATTAAATAGGATGATTACATTGTCTTTAATTTATAATTCTTATATTTTCTTAAAATTAATAACTGCCTTGTATGTATCATTGGTTAGTTTCCTGCATATCTGTTCCCAAACTCTAAGCCAAACTGACGTCTACCAGTTTTATTTTTTCTCTAGTAATCTTTTCTGGATCAGTTCAGACTTTTCTGTAGTCCAGACTAGTTGCTTTCTCAACTGGTTGCACAAATGCTGACCTATATTTGTCCTTTACCGTTATCTCTGCCTCTCCTTTGTTGGACAGGTGATTCCCTTGCTGTTTTCTTAGTGGTTCATCCATTGTTTTGTGGAACACATGCATTGTTCCAAGAAAAGGTGTATGACATATGAGACTTTGCATTTCTAAAAAATGTGTCTGCTCTTGTTTTAAGTAATAATTTGGCTGTGTCTGATGTTCTAAGCTGGATTTTTTTTTTTTCAAAACTTGAATATAATATACTATTGTCTTCTCACAGTGATATGAGAAGTCAGGTACCATTCTGATCACATACCCAGTGTATGTGAACTGGTTTTTTCTCTCACATTTTTCTTTTTATTAGCACTTATTAGCTGAACTTACATCATGAGCCATTGTGTGGGTTTTATGTTGGGCACTTGGTGGAGCCCTTTCAATCTGCTAACTCCAGCACCTTACTTGGTGAAATTTCCTTAATTATTCTCCCTTTTAATTTCTGTTTTATCTGTTCTCTCTTGTTGGAGCCATCTAGATCACTCTTTTAATTTTCTTATCTTTTCTCTTCTAAATTTTTATTTGTTAACCTCTGCTCTTACTCATTTGATATCCATAAGCTTTTGGGAGTTTCTGAACATTCCTTTTTAAAAAAAATCCTCGTCTGAGGATATGTTTACTATTTTTAGAGAGGGGGGAGAGAAAGAGAGAAACATTGACGTGAAAGATAGACATCAATTAGGTTGCCTCCCACACTCTCCCTGACCAGGGATCAAACCCAAAACCTAAGCATCTCCCCCAACTGGAAACGGAACCTGAAGCTTTCTGGTGTGCAGAACGATGCTTCAACCAACTAAGCCACCGGCCAAGGCCTAAAGGCTCCTTTTAAATTCTTCCTTTTTGTTTTTGTTGCATGTTTGCAACAACTTGGGATTTAAGTGTAGTTGTCTGTCTTTATGTTTTCTGCACCTTGTTTCCTGTTTCTGTTTTGGTGTATGCCTTTGAAGTTATAGGTTTTCTAAAATATATAAAATATTTAAAATAGTACCTTGTACACAGGATATACTCAGTAAATGTTAGATGTTATCTGATGAATGGACTGGAGAAAAGGAGGGAAGGGTGGCAGAGAGACAGATCTTTTTAAGTACTCTAAGAAACACATGGGGAGCATCTGAACTTAGTTTGGGGCTATGGTGGATATAAAAAAATTAGACATCCTAAAGTTTCCACATGAAGAGTAATGTAGCTTTAGAGATGACTTTAAAATTTCTGGCTTGAGAAAGTCTGTGTCTTCCATCACTGAAATTGAGAAGACAGGAGAAAAAGCAGTATTGGGAGAATAACATTGAGTATCCTTCTGGACTTGAGAAGTATGAGGTGGCTTTTGGCGAGGCCCCGCCCTTCAGTACTGACTGGCTATTTGGCACTAGGTTGGGTCTTAGAGTCCAGGCTCGGCACTTCAGAACCGGTGTCAGCCCTTTGGAACTAGATTCCTCTCTTAGGCCTTGGCTGGGCAATTCCAGGGTAGGTCCATTAACATCGTATTGATCCGGGCCCTGGGGAAGTCCTGGTCTCCACAAGATTGCCTTATAGGAAAGGACCCTTAGGGGAGCATTCTGGCCTAGGAGCCAGAGGCTGAAAGGGCTGCTGACTCACAAGGAGAGGAGCCTGTGGAAATCCCTCTGACACACAGTTTGGGTTCCTTGGGCCTGCTGGAAAAATAGGTGTTGCTTAGGGGCTGGGCTCTTTGGAGTGAGGTTCTACCCTCCAGACAGGTTGGCTGTTTGGGACTGGGTTCTTTACTGTTGTTGCTTATTGTCGCCTTTGTTTTTGTTTTTTAAAGAAGTGTGAGGTGGCCTCAGTCAATCCTAGATCCTCCTCACAATCTGATTCTTTTTCTCTCCATTTTTTAACATACTCTTAACCAGAATCAAACCTGGGGCCTTTCAGTCCACAGGCCTACGCTCTATCCACTGAGTCAAATCAATTAGGGCTTTCTTTTGTTCATAAAGTGAGGCACATACTAGTATAGACAAATTCATGAATTTATTAAATCTTTTTTTTTTAATGGAGCAACATACTTGGCTGCTTTTTCGAATTTATTAAATCTTAAGAGAGCTCATAAGGAAGATGTTTCAGGCAAACTCAATTGTGATTTCTCAAAAAACAAGTAGAATGCTGACACTTCAGAAGTGTCAGCATTCTACTTGTTTTTTGAGAAATCACAATTGAGTTTGCCTGAAACATCTTCCTTATGAGCTCTCTTAAGATTTAATAAATTCTTGGTTAAGGGCATGGACCTTGGTTGCAGGTACATGCCCAATAGGGCATGTGCAGGAAGGCAGCTGATGAATGTTTCTCTCCTCGATGTTTCTAACACACTCTCCCTCTCCCTTCCTCTCTGTAAAAAATCAATAAAATATATATATTTTTTAAAAACAAAAGTAGGCCTCCATATCTTAAGAGAAATGATAGTACATACCAGACTGGAAAAATTGTTTACCTTGGCTGGTTTTGTAGGGAAATTACTAACTTTTAACTATCTTTATATTATTTTGTTTCAAATAACTTTGTATTATTTTTGTAAATAAAGAGGTTTTTTTAAAATTTAAAGATAAATAATCAATGTAAAGGTATTTCCACAAACCCTGGTTTTCATCAGCTACTTAATTATGTAAAATGTGATTTTTTTTCTTTTGCAGTCTAAGTTCTGATTTTCTTGATAGGTTTTACAGCTCTTTAAAACATTGCACAGGACCAGACAACAAGTTTTTAAAAATGATACCAAAGCATTAGAAGGTAAGTGTATTAATTTTCCGTTGGAACAAGTCCATTCTTCAGATGCTGCTCATATGTCCAAGAGACCCAACATAGCCAAGCCTCATCTTAGGGAATGACCTTCACTACCTCTTCCCTAATGTTGTTATGTGTTATAAAAATTAGTTTACATTACACTTTTTGAGGAGTATACACTTAAAGAAAATTAAAGTCCTTTCTCTATTTTATAATCACAATTTCACACATCTAGGACTAGATACTACCGTATTGTTAATGCCTTGTGTCATTCTAGAAGTGACAGCAGCTAAAAAAGATAATCTATTCCAAGCAATTCCACATTTAGTACTGCACAGTTTTAAGTGATTTCTGTCTTACTTGGTTCTTTGTTGGTCATGTTTACTTCCAATCCTCATACATTTCAAAACCTCTTTAACCTAGGTAAAGTGTCTCCACTGTCCCAGGATATTCTAGTTTTCATAATTCACCCAAAATAATTTCTTGAATATTAAAATATATGCCTGATATTATACTTTGCACAAATTCCTCATTTAATTATTATAACAACACTGTGATGTAGTTGCTAGTAAACCCTCAATTTTGCAGAGATTGATTTAACAGAATTAGGATTTAATGGAAAAATTTCTAGCCTGTATGTCATATGTGAATTTAATTTAACACCTTATTAATTTAAAAATGCTATATACCAAGATTTGCTTATAATTAAATCTATAAATTTGTTATTTTGTTATTTGTTATTAAGAAATTTATTATTTTTAACAAATTTTAGTGAATAAGCCATATGTTTGAAAAATACTAGTAATTTCACCAACATAAATAAATGTTACATATCTACAACCATAGTCTGCATATTTAAATCCCAGAGTCACCTCTCGTAAACCATGTTCAGCAAATGATTAGCATTTGAACACAGATACCAGAGCATTAGAAGGTAAGTTTTTATTGTTTTTCCTTTGGAACATCCCACAGAGTAATTGGTTTTATTGTTGCATGCGTGACTTTCTGCAGCAGTTTTAACACGTGCCACCCATCTTCCAACATGAGCTAAGCCAAGCCCAGACTTGTGCATTTGTTTATTCACAGCGACTGGTGAATGCACACATTTATTAGACCTATTTAGTACAAATTTAAAATTACATTCATACATATAGAAAAGTTTTCTGTGAAATTAAACTTTCATAAATACTTAATTTTAATTACAAAAATGTATCTATATTTGTCAAATTTTTAACATACACATTTGAAAAACCTGTCTATATATATATGACTAATATGCAAAGTGTCCCCTTGGGAGCTCAACCAGGAGAGACCAAGAGTTCGATTGCTCGCTATGTCGTGCACTGACCACCAAGGGGTGCTGCAGAACAAAGGAAGTCCCCAGCCAGCAGCTGGAAGTCCAGATGGTCTCTGATCACCTTTCAGGCCTAGGGACCCTATCTGTGCACGGATTTCATGCACCAGGCCTCTAATTTTATTATAAAATGGGCTGTCAGCTTTAACAGACACCTTGTCTCGCCCGAATTAGTCCATTATATCGAGATTTCACTGTATGATTTCTGTTCAGATAAGAAACTAAAAAATGTGAAAGGATTTGCCCCACATTATACTTAGAAAGAAGTAGAGCTAGGATTCAGCTTAAGCAGTCTGGCTCCAAAGCCTAAACTCTAACCACCTTGCATATTGAAATTCTGAAGCATAGAAGGAAGATTTTATGACTATTCTCACATCAAAATAGCATAGTTTTGTTGCTTTAAATGTTTTTAAGTGAAATAATTATAAGAACAGGTAACATTGCATGTTTACTAAGCACTTTATATGGATCATTTCATTAAATGCTTACAGCAATACAATAAGGCAGTTTGTCAAGTTAAACTGAATTATGCTACTGTAATGATGGTGATGTCCCAGTGGTGTACATGAACAAAAGTTTTATTTATCATTTACTTTAAATGTCAGCCAAAGTGCTCAGAGCTGCTATATCTTTATTTTAATGTGTATATGTGTGTCTGGTTTAATGTGCTTAAAGTATTGAGTTTAGCCATCTTAAAAACATTTAATTTAAATTCTTAGATTTATAGAAACAAAGAATTACATTGATTTATTGAATCTAATAAGTACACAAATGAAATTGAAAGTGAAAATCAGGAAACAAAAGTATTAGAGTGCTGAAGGTTTATATTAATTACAAACTTGTCAGCCTGTCATAAGCTCTCCAAAAGACTTCTTTAATAAATTTATGATTTTTATACTTTGTTTTACATGGGGCAAAACTATTTCCTTTACTAGAGAAGTAGTGATTCATAATGAATAACATGTAAATTATTGTGGCAGAAATAATAAATTAGGCAAGTAACTATATGTATTTTTTCTTTCTGTAGCAGCCAGAATAAAAATAAATGAAGAATTCAAAAGTAATAAAAATGAAACTTCTTCTAAGAAAATAGAAGAGGTACGGTAATTAAATTTTTCAATTTTACAATAAAACACTTGTAAATTGTATTAGCAACTAGAGGAAGTGATGGAAATAGAGGGGTTACGCGAAATAAAAACCCGATAGTTAAAAATAAGCTTCACTTGCTTGGTATGGCTCACTTCCTCTGTGTCATCTGCCTACAACCATAAGAAAACAAGTTGCCTGGTAAAAAGAATAAGGATGGGAACCCTAGTTAAAACAAGAGCAGCTGCCGAAGCCAGTTTGGCTCAGTGGATAGAGCGTCAGCCTGCAGACTGAAGGGTCCCAGGTTCGATTCCAGTCAAGGGCATGTGCCTTGGTGTGGGCACATCCCAGGTGGGGTGTGCAGAAGGCAGCTGGTCGATGTCTCTCTCTCATCGATGTTTCTAACTCTCGATCTCTCTCCCTCTCTGTAAAAAATCAATAAAATATATTTTTTTAAAAACAAACAAACAAACAAAAACAAGAGCAGCTGAATCAGCCCAGTCACCCACAGAAGTGCTATCTTCTCACTGAAACTGAAAAGAATGAGTGCTTTGGTAACTCAGAACTATAGAGGAAACACCTACTCATTTAGCTCAACTGGACAGATTTTTTTTTTTTTAAATTCCTGTCTTGGCAATGGAAGTGAACCAGCCACAGTTCATGACGACTCTTGGTTTGCCTTTAATATTTGCATTTTAATCACTTATTTTAGTTTAAGACAGTCTACTGAAACCAGTCCGTGAGCTCCCTAGTACTCCCAATGCATATTCATTGAAAAAATTCACAATGTTTTGTTTCCTGTATAAAATCATGCTGCATATATACACTATCTCGTTTTGAGCTTCATAAGTATTCCTGTTTCTAACCTTGGATAAATTTAGGGAAAGGACCCATAGGAAGAAAGTGAAAAATGGAAAACTATTTGCAAGGGTAGTTATGATTCCAAGAATTGGTTTGATTAAAAGGAAAATATAAATTAGAGAAATACTTCTGTGTTTAACAGAATTTCTGAATGTTAAAATTTTATGAAAATCATTTACATTTTTGAATAGTAAATATCTATAATAAGCCAGTGAGACAATGAAATAGCTTAAGAATTTCTGCCAAGACCGGTGTGGCTCAATGGATAGAGCGTCGGCTTGGGGACTGAAGGGTCCCGGGTTCGATTCCGGTCAAGGGCATGTACCTTGGTTGCGGGCATATCCCCAGTAGGGGGTGTGCAAGAGGCAGCTGATCGATGACTGTCTCTCATCGATGTTTCTAACTCTCTATCTCTCTCCCTTCCTCTCTGTACAAAATCAATAAAATATATTTAAAAAAAAAAAAAAAAAGAATTTCTATCCCTGTAATAAAAAAGGGAAAGATTTCCCTTAAGCATATGATAGGGTAACCAGGGACTATGAAATGTTTATTCATGTAGAAGTTAAGATGAAATTAGACTCAAGTCATGAACTGAATAGAAGTTAAAAGGTACATATGAAGGTTTGTCCAATTTGCTATTCAGTAGACTGATAACAATTTGGCAATTTCTAAATTTTTTTTATTTTTTTTAATTTTTTTTTAATTTTCCAGAGTGATGACATTTTACATTCTTTTTTTTTCTTTTTTTTTCAATATATTTTATTGATTTTGTACAGAGAGGAAGGGAGAGAGATAGAGAGTTAGAAACATCGATAAGAGAGAGTCATCGATCAGCTGCCTCTTGCACACCCCCTACTGGGGATGTGCCCACAACCAAGGTACATGCCCTTGACCGGAATCGGACCCGGGACCCTTCAGTCCCCAAGCCAACGCTCTATCCATTGAGCCAAACCAGTCTTGGAACAATTTCTAAATTTTTAAATCATGATTTAAACTTTTAAGATTTTTTACATTTTTAATTGTTTATATCAACTAAACTGAGAAAATGAACTACAGGGAGAAACCAAGATGGCAGCATAAACACCTAAACTGCTGCCTTGCACAACAATTTCGAAACTACAACCAAAAGACAAAACAGACATTATACAGAACTACAGGAAGGCTGGCTGAGTGGAAATTCTACAGCTATAAGGAAAGAGACTCAGAGACTCAGAGGTGCTGCAGAAGGCAGAGGTACGGAGACGTGCGCATGGAGAGGACTGGCAACTGAGCATGCGGCTGACTTTCTCAACGGGGAGGGGGACAAAAGCTCCTGATTGCTCTGAACTCCAGTGCCGGGCGAGACTGGGGACCCAGACTCATACTGTTTCCTTCATCCTGAGACTCCACTTCATCCAAGCTAAGCACAGAGGTTTTTTGCAAGTATTGTCTCATAAGGGTGTCTCCAGCACAGAAATTCTCCCAATATAGACACAGCTGATTGTCACAGCCAATTAGCCTGGAGGTCAGTTCCTCCCAGTGATACCAACAACAATCAAGGCTTAACTACAAGACTATGCACACGGTCCACAAAGGGGTGCACCAAGAGTGTCCACCTCGGGTGACTAGGGAGGCTGAACCACTGGGCCTATATGACACCTAGCACACAAAGCCACTCTATCAACTCAGAGAAGCAGCCAAAATGTGGAGAAAAGGAAACAGGTCATAAAAGAAAAAAATGGAGGAAAGCAAACGACTGGATATAGAGTTCAAAATCACAGTTAAAAGGTTTTTCAAGAATTTTTTAGAAAAGGCCAATAAATTTAATGATATCCTCAAGGGTATGAAAAGGACCAACTAGAAATTAAACATACACTGACTGAAATAAAAAATAATATACAGAGATCAAACAGCAGACTAGAGTATTGCAAGAATCCAGTCAAAGATTTTAAATACAAAGAAGCAAAAAACACCCAACCAGAAAAGAAAAAAGAATCCAAAAATTTGAAGATAGTGTAAGGAGCCTCTGGGACAACTTCAAGCATACTAACATCCAAATTATGTGGGTGCCAGAAGAAGGGAGAGAGCAAGATACTGAAAACCTATTTGAAGAAATAATGAGAGAAAACTTCCCCCACCTGGTGAAAGAAATAGACTTACAAGTCCAGGAAGCACAGAGATCCTCAAACAAAACTAATTCAATGAGGACCACACCAAGACATATCATAATTAAAATGCCAAGAGCAAAAGACAGAGTATATTAAAAGCAGCAAGAGATCATCCCATGATCTATAAGACTATATCATCTGACCTCGGTTAACTTCCCTTCTCACTTCACTCATTTTCAAGAAAAAAAATCTAGCAAATACCCGTCTAAATAATCAGTTTGTCTGCCTATCAATGGTTCATTCAAGTACAAATGGTATTTTATAGAGAAAACTCTACTTCTCACAACTCTGTAGAATGGTCTAGGGTCTAGTATTATGAAAATAAATTTGACATCAGGGTTGCCTGAAAGGGTCCTAAAGTGGCTCAAGCGGTCCACAGCTTTGAGAATTGCTATTCTAATCCATTTCTTCATTTTGCAAATAATGAGGTCTGAAACTCAGTTTATTAAACCAAGGCCATACACTTAATGACAACCAGAGTTGGAATCCAAGTATTCTGACTCCTAATCCAACATTCTAGTGTTCAGAACATCCAATTCTATAAAAGAAAGATTCACCACCACCACCCTAAAAAAAACTGTGTTTTAAACACATTGTAAAATATATATGTACCACAACAAAAAAATACTCTAAACCTGTTTTGGATCAAAATATGAACAGGTGGATAAAAGTTAAAAGTATAATATATGCCTGTCTGAGCTTTTTGCACACTTGGAATGATTATAAAAAGTTAAAGGCAGATTATTACATAAAAATTTGTAGTAAACCTATACTTTTCAAAAACAGTACATTTGTATGAACAACTGAAAAACACCTAAAGGATTTATTCTGTTTGGTTTTCTTAACAGCTAATAAAAATAGGTTCCGATGTGGAATTGTTGCTCAGAACATCTGTTATACAAGGTATTCACACAGACAACAATACACTGAGTAAGTAAAATGAAAGAAAAATGTTTTCTGATTGCAGTGTGTTTTAAAATATTAAGCAATTACAGTGCTCTTAATGCTGATTGCTAAAAGAGTTTGATTTTGCCAGACAATGTGGTATATATTTCACATATTTATAAGGCTATCATTTAAAAATACTGAAGTATGAAACTTTGTTTTATCAGATTTTTTATTCTTAAAATTCTTTAAAAACCTTAACTACTGATTATATTACAAAACTACAGTTACAAAGACAGTATGACTATTTTTATCATTTATTTGGGGTTCTTAATATTTCTAGTACCATTTAACATGTACCTAAACTAAGTCTATTTCTCTACCCTTTATTCTATGATTAGAGTTATTTTAATTCAAAACAATTGGGGTTATAAAAAATAAAAATAGAATAGAGGATCCTTCATTATACCTTAAAACTCCTAGTGTGGCTTCGGCAGAATCTCATTTTATATTATACTAGAGGCCTGCGCATGAAATCTCATGCTCTCAGAGAGGTCCCTTAGCCCGGCCTGCACCCTCTCACAGTCTAGGAGCCCTCAGTGGGTGTCCAACATGCAGGGAGCCTGGCTTCCCTCTGCAGGAGGTGACCAGTGGGCCGATCTGGGAATAGCGAGCAGCTGGCCCCGCCCTGAGTCACCCTACTGTGATCACTGGTGGCCTCCCTCTGTGGGAGGCAAACCTGGCGGACAATCTGGGGATGGCGAGTGGCCAGCCCCTCCCCAAATTGCCCTGCCACTGCTGACACCCGTGCCCTCCCTCTGCGCAAGGCAACCAGACGTGCAATCGGGGTGGGATTTGTTTTTATTCCCCGAAGTTACTTTGGGGACAACAATAATACCAAAAAGATGACATTTCTTTAAAGTATAACATACAAACAGAAAAGTGCCCAATTTATAACTGTATAGCCCACTGAATTTTCACAAAGTAAAATACTCATGTAATCAACATCCATATCAAGCTATATAATACTACCTGTTCCTCAAAAGACCCCATATGATCTTATGTCTCTCCCCGTCATCCCCACCCCACAAGTATGACCATTGTCCTGACTTTCAACACTATCAATTTTTAACATAATAAATATTTTTACTTTATATAATATAAATTACATCATACAGCATTTGCTATTTTATCTGGCTTCTTTCAACATATTGTATTTGTGAGAATCATCTATATTATTGTGTATAACAACATTTCTATAAATATTGTTTGAATATACTACACTTTATTCATTCTACTATTGTTTGGGTTGTTTCTAATTTTGGACTGTAATAAATAATAATTCTATGAATATTCTATGTGTGCCTTGTGGTTTAAATACATAAAAAAATATGTATGTACATTGATATGTACATACACAAATACAAATATAATGCATTTCTTGGAGATAAAAGTGAATTTTCCAGGTCAAAAGGATTATGTGTTTACTACAGGCCCAGTGCACGACATTTGTGCACTGTGGTCTCAGACCAGACTGGACCCTGGGGTAGTGGGCCTAAGCCAGCAGGTGGACATCCCCCAAGGGGTCCTTAGGCCTGTGATGGAGGTGGGAGAGGCTACTGCCACTGCCGCTGCGCTCACCAGCTGTAAGCCCGCCACCACAGCGAGTGCAGTGGTGGTAGCCCCTCCCACCTCCGAGGCAGTACGAAGGAGCTACGAGCCCGACTTCTTGCTGAACAGTGTTTTCCCTGTGGGAGCGCACTGACTACTAGGTGGAATCTCCTGCATTGCGTGTCTGCCCCCCAGTGGTCAGTGTGCGTCATAGGGACCGGTTGTTCACCGTTCAGTTGATTTGCATATTAGGGTTTTATTATATAGAATTTAGGTTTAAGTAGATACTTCTAACCAGTTTTCTAAGTGGTTAAACTAATTTACACTTCCAACAGCAGCATCTTAGAGCTCCAGTTGTTTTATATCCTCAACAATACTTGGTACTGTATAACTCTTTAATTTTAGTCTTTCTGGTAGTTGTGTAATGGTATTACATTTGATTTTAATTTGCATTTCTCTGATAACTAATGAAGTATCAGCACTTTTTCAGTTGTTTAATGGCCTGTTATTTTATGAAATGGCTGTTTAAGTCTCTTGCCCATTTTCTTGGCAATTATCTGCCTTTTTACTATTGATTTGAAAATATTATTTTTTTAAATATATTTTTATTTATTTCAGAGAGGAAAGGCAAGGGAGAGAGAGAGAAACTTCAATGATGACAGATAATCATTGATTGACTGCCTCCTACATGCCCAACACTGGAGGCTGAGCCTGAAACCCAGGCATAGGCCCTGGCCGGGAATCAAATTGTGACTTCCTGGTTCATAGGTCAATGCTCAGCCACTGTGCCATACCAGCTGGGCTAAAAGAATTCTTCTTTTTTTTATAGACAAGGACCCAAAATTTCAGGTTGATTTACTTAAATATAGTTATTGGCAACAGAAAGACTTAAAATACTCAAACCTCTTAACTATTATATTACCATGATGGCTCTACTTTTTTCAGGTTTTTTTATTTTAAGGATAATGCTTTTAAATATAATAATGTTACATGCAATAAAAATTAATATCTCAAGAGAAACTATTTTAAATATGATAACGTTACATGCAGTAAACACCAATTATTTAAGAAAATGACCACATGCAATAAACTTTAGGATTTCAAGAATAAGAGGATTTTAAGTATAATAATATTACCAAAGCTATACTAACATAGTATGATATCACAAAAGTTGTAGGAAATATTAAAAATCTATAAATAACAGGATGACTTCTATTATATTTTAGTATATCCCCTTCTGGCTCTATTTTTGTTCATCATATTCCACAAATCAGTGAAATTATATGTTTATCTTTCTCCAACTTGCTTATTTTGCTTTTAAAGACTATTCTTTTCCCCATCCCTTCACTTTCATCCTGTGTGTGTCTTTTTTTTTTTTTTTTTTTTTTTTTTTTTTTTTTTTTTTTTTTTTTTTGAGGTGTGTCTTTTGTAGACATCATATTTTTGGGTCCATGTTTTTGTATCCATTCAGCTATCCTACACCTTTTGATTAGAGCATTTAATCCATTTACATTTAAGGTTATTATTGAGAGGTACTTATTTATAGATACTTTAATTTTGTATAGCTAGGTTTCTCTCTCTGTTTTTTCTTCTAGCAATCCCTTATAGCGATTCCTTTAGCATTTCTTGTAATGCTAGCATGGTGTTCATAACTCCTTTATCCTTTTTTTTTTGTCTGGGAAGCTCTTTATTTGACCATCTATTTTGAATGATAACCTTGCTGTATATAATAATCTTGGTCTCAGATCCTTGCTTTTCATTACCTTGAGTACTTCATAACATTCCCTTCTGGCCTATAGAGTTTCTGATGAGAAATTAGGTGTCAGCCTTATGGGAACTCCTTTGTAGGTACCAGTTTTATTTTCTCTTACTGCCTTTAAGATTCTCTCTTTGTCTTAATTGTTGGGATTTTAATTATGATGTGTCTTGGTGTGGGTCTGTTTGGGTTCTTCTTGTTTGGGGTTCTCTGTGCCTCCTGAACTTATGTGAGTTTTTCCTTACCAGGTTAGGGAAGTTTTCTACCATTATTTATTCAAACACCTTCTCTTTTCTTTTCTCTCTTTCTGCCTCTTCTGGCATGCCTACTCTTCTAAATTTGTTATGTTTCACATTTTCCCACAGCTCCCTTAAGCTGTTCTCCTGATTTTTAATTGTTTTTTTCTTTTTGGTTCTCTAATTGAGTGATGTTTTCAACTGTCTTCTAATTCACTAATTCGATCCTCAGCTTCCCCTAATCAACTGTGTATTCCTTCCAATGTGTTCTTTATTTGTGTTATGTCATTCTTTATCTCAGGCTGTTCTTTTTCCATAGTTACTATATTTTTTTTCATACTGTTGAGCATTTTTAACATCATTACTCTGAACTCTGTTTCAGATAAATTTCTTATCTCTGCTTCATTTATCTCTTCTTCTGGAGAATTCACTAGTTCTTTCCTTTGTGGGTTGTTTCTTTGTTTCCTCATTTTGGTTGTCAGGTTTGTGACTGTGTTTTAGGTAGATCCTCTATACCTCTCACTCTCTAGTTCAGGACAGTGTTAAGGCTATTTCTGACTAATTAGATCAGGCAAAGTCTCAAAAGCCTCCAGAGACTGCCTATGTCTACAGACTAATAGGATTCCAGTTGAACTGCCCCCAGGCAATTGTCCTTAGGTATGATGAGAATTTTTTCAACTGGGTGGGACAGTTGCTCCTGCCTGGAGGCTCATTGTTACTTTTATTTTTTTAATTTTAATTTTTATTGATTATGGTGTCACATAATTGTCCTCATCCCCCCAATCCCATCTCAAACCCCTCCCTACATATGCCCTCACCCCCCCTCTAACCCCCCCTGTTGCCCATGAGCACTGGCCAGGCCCATATGCATGCACACAAGTCCTTTGGTAGGTCTCTTCCCCTTACCCCCACCCTCCCCTACTTTCCCTCTGGGGTTTGAGAGTCTGTTTGCTGCTTCTCTTTCTCTGGGTCTGTTTTTGTTCATCAGTCTATGTTGTTCAACATTCCCTCTAGATGTGTGATTTCATGTGATCTAAGAAATACCCTTATAAGAACCTAAACTGAGACAAACCATAATGGTTTTCTTTTTTTTACAATTTTTTTAAATATATATTTTATTGATTTTTTACAGAGAGGAAGGGAAAGAGATAGAGAGTTAGAAACATCGATGAGAGAGAGTCATCGATCAGCTGCCTCTTGCACACCCCCTACTGGGGATATGCCCGCAACCAAGGTACATGCCCCCGACCGGAATCGAACCTGGGACCCTTCAGTCCCCAAGCCGACGCTCTATCCATTGAGCCAAACCGGTCTCGGCAACAAGCCATAATGGTTATGCTAAGAGGCAACTGCATCACCACTGTTTGTCCGCCAACCAGATCTGAAATAGCATGGCTGGCATGTACACATAAGGAACTATTTGACATTGAAATTGGGACTCAAAAGAACTGTTGGCCCAGAAAGGAACTCACTACAAACTGATTCATTTGCCTCTCAGCATAATCATTGTTACTTTTAATCTCTTAAGTGGCCGCAGGACAAGGTGTTTTCCAATAGAGTATATTGACTATCCCAGGCAAGGCAGATATCTATGTGGGAGAGATGTCCTCTGCTGTGTGAGGGAATGACTCAGCCCAGGAAACTTGGGGTGTCTGCCTTCTGAGCTCTATACCCTGAGTCTCCAGTCCTGGGTTCTGCTCTCACAGCTCCAGTCCACTTCACTCTCCCTCTGCCAGAGCACAAGGTGGATGGCTCCACAGGGAATTTCTGTGCATTGGCCCTAAAAGAAGGTGCCCAAACTTCCAGCTGCTACTCCCTGGCAGACAGCACCCCATCACTTTTCACCTCTAGATGTTATGTGGGTACCCTCTTCAGTTCAATGCTTCAGCTGAGGAGCCCAGCTTCAGGATTAGACTTCAGAGTTCTCAGTGGCACCCCTCCAGAACTGAGATATCTCTTTGGGACTTCAGTTGCTGTCTGTGTGTGCCCAGCCAGCTCTTTTGTGCCTCCGCTCCTCCTACCAGTCTCTATCTAGGGGTGTCAAACTCAATCAGAGAAGGGGCCAAAATCTAAAATCCAGCCTAAATCGCGGGCCGAATGGTTTACTGAACAGTCATAAACTGTCATTGTGATGGAAACGCAGCGGAGTGCAGTGATGACAGCGCTGTGCGGGCCACATTGCAAGGCCTGGCGGGACGGATTTGGCCCGCGGGCCTTGTGTTTGACACATGTGCTCTATGCCATCTCCACCTTCGGTCCTTGGGTATCAGCATTCTCTCCTGTGAGTTTTCCAGGAAGCCTTTTCTTATTTTAGTTGTAATTCCAGCTTGTTCATAGGAGCATTTCCATGCAGCTTCCTCCTTCTCTGTTGCCATTTTTTTTTTTTTTAAGAACTCTTATATGAAAGCTTCAGAGCCTCAAATAAGGGCTTATGCCCCAATATAAGTAGAATACCCAAGAGGATGAACAAGGAGCCTTGAAAGACAGTGGACAAGAGAGAGTCTTTGGGTCTCCCAGAAAACAGGATTAAGTACTGCCAGATGGGTTGACTAGAGAATTTATTCTTTGTCAAAAGGCAGTAGTCCTTGCTCTTCCTGTCCACCAGGATTTAGGATTTTCTGTGGAGTAGACTAACATGTGTTTCCCATTTCAGGTTTTTATTGCTATATCCTGTTTATTCTTTACTATAGTCTAACAGGTATATTCCATGTATCTAATGGACACAGACAGAAATCCCTGATTTGAATCAGGATGAAATCTATGGGGTCAGATAGTAAATAGATATTTCTATATATGGGAAGAAGGGCATATGTTCATGTGTGTAGCTGAAAAGGGTGAATAGCTTGGAATTCTTTCCTTTTGAATTTTTTTGAGTAGTTTGAGGAGGATAGATGCTAGTTCTTTGAATGTTTGGTAAAACTCGCCTGTAAATCCATCTGGTCCAGGACTTTTGTTTGATGGGAGTTTTTTTTTTCATTACTGCTTCAATTTCATTACTTGTTATCAGCCTATTTAGGTTTTCTGATTTCTCCCGATTGAGTTCTGGAAAATTATATTTCCAGAAATTCGTCCATTTGGCCCAGGTTATCCAGTGTGTTGGCATATAAATGTTTACAGCAACTTCTTAACAATCCTTTGTATTTTTATAGTATCAGATGTTACTCTGCCTCTTTCATTTCTGATTCTATTTATTTGGGTCCTATCTCCTATTTCTTTATGAGTCTGGCTAAAGGTTCATCAATCTTGTTTATCTTTTCAAAACCAGTTTTTGGTTGTATTAATATTTTGTTTTGTTGGGTTTTTTTTGTTTAGTCTCTGTCATTTATTTCCACTCTGACTTTATTATTTACTTCCTTCTACTTACTCTTGAATTTTCTTCATGTTCTCTTTTAATTCTTTCATTTGTAGGGTTAGAATATTTACTACTATTTGAGCTTTTTCTTATTTCTTGAGGTATAATCCTGTAATGCTATGAACTTCCCTCTCAGGACTGCTTTTGCTGTGTCCCATAGATTTTGTGTTGTTGTGTGTTCATTTTTATTAGTTTCCAGGAAGTTGTTTATTTTTGTCTTGACTTTATCAGTAACCCATTCATCTACACTAGGGGTGTCGAACTCAATCAGAGAAGGGGCCAAAATCTAAAATCCAGTCTAAATCGCAGGCCGAATGGTTTACTGAACAGTCATAAACTGTCATTGTGATGGAAACGCAGCGGAGTGCAGTGATGACAGCGCGGTGCAGGCCACATTGCAAGGCCTGGCGGGACGGATTTGGCCCTCGGGCCTTGTGTTTGACACATGTGATCTACACAATGAAAGAGTAAGATGCAAATTGACCATACCTTCAGGACACCCACCAGCCGATTAGGAGTGAGCATGCAAATTAATCCACCAAAGAATGTGGGTTAATTTGCATATGCAGGCGCTGAGGGGACAGGGCAGAATGCTTGTGTTATCACCATGGCAATGATGCAGGCTTCTGCACTGCCCCAGCCACTCAGGGCCTCTGGGCAGCATGGGAAGGCAGAAAGGTGGCTCCAGACCTGAGCCAAAAGGTAGCTCCAGCCAGAGCGAAGGCGATGCTGGCAGCCAGAGGAAGGAAGCCTCATTCTTGCACAAATCTTCCTGCATAGGTCTTCTTCCTGCAGAGGGCCTCTCATTGTTTAATAACATACTAAATAGCCTCCATGTGTTTGAATGTTTTGAGGTTTTTATATTGTAGTTGATTTCTAGTTTCATGCTCTTGTGATCTGATAAGATGCTTGATATGATTTCAGTCTTCTTAAACTTGTAAAGAGTTGTTTGTTTCCTAATACTTTGACCAGGGTAGTTCTTTGCTGTACCATATTGTTCTATACATCCCTGGCTCCTGCCCACTAAATTTCAGTAGCACTCTTCAGTTGGTATGACCTCCCAAAACACCCTCAGTTGAAAACCACTGTTCTATAACATTTAGAATCTTTAAGTTATGAAAGCCATCTTGCCTTTTCTATAGTAAGTCATATAAAAACATTTTCCAGTTGATGGTCTTAATTATTAATAATCTGTAATCAGATGCTGATAATGTGCTTTAGCTGAATTCTGGTTGGTTATTTAATTAGTTTATTTAATAAATAAGTGATAAAGGTTAAGTTGGCCATACATGTTTTTATAATAATTTGAAATGAGAATCCTACTGTCTTCATTTAAAATCAAGGACTCCACCTTTGAAGTTAGCTGAAATAAAATATCCATGGAAAATTTGCCTTAAAATTCCATATATTCTTGTTACAAATTTTAGGGGGAATAAGCATATTAGTATTTAATTTTTTTTAATTTTAATGATGTTAATTATTCCTTTCTTGTTTTGTTTTGTTTTTCAGAATTGGTTCCTAGGAAAGACCTTCTTTTAGAAAATGTGCCATATTGTGATACACCAAATCAGAAGCACTGAATTTCTAGGATAAAATCAAGACTTTATAATTTTTAATTTTAAAATATATACTGCAACATAAGTCCTAGAAATGCAGATATTTTTCTCTAAATTAGCATGTTGAAAATTAGAGTATAGTTTTATAATTAAATTTCCCATTTAAAAGACATTGCTGAAAACTTCAGGCCATAGCGAAGTATTTCTAAAGAACATTAGATAAGAAGATATTTAATTTTCATTGAAAAAAAAACTTTATCAAGTGATATAAATGCTTAGGGAAATATATCATATTTATTTTTCTTTGACCTTGATGAATATTTTGCTCTTATTTTTTTTTTAAATATATTTTTTATTGATTTTGTACAGAGAGGAAGGGAGAGAGAGAGTTAGAAACATCGATGAGAGAGAGTCATCGATCAGCTGCCTCTTGCACACCCCCTACTGGGGATATGCTCGCAACCAAGGTACATGCCCTTGACCGGAATCGAACCCGGGACCCTTCAGTCCCCAAGCCGACACTCTATCCATTGAGCCAAATCGGTTTTGGCTATTTTGCTCTTATTATAACTATTTGAGAATGCTGTGTTTTGGCAAGTTGATGGGTTTTCCTCCCATGTAAAATGAAACCATTAGATTAAATTGACATTTAGTCCCAAACATACTACATTGGTCAAAATATCACAGTATGTGGCCCTAGCCAGGTAGTTCAGTTGGTTACAGCATTGTCCTGATACTCTAAGGTTGCAGGTTTGATACCTGCACAAGGCACATATAATAATCAACCAGTGAATGTAAATATAAGTGGAACAACAAATTGATGTTTCTCTCTCTCTCTCTCTCTCTCTCTCTCCTTTCTCTCTGTAAAATAAATAAAAAGTTTTTTAACAATCACAGTATGTGCTAACTCTCACAGAAAGTGGCCCTTGTTTCCAGAAGCACTGAAATGGTTTCTGTAGCTAACAAGCAATAGTTTCTTTTTACAGATAGAGAATATCTCTGTGTTCCTAAAAAGACACTTTTTAATCAGTCTTCTGAAAATAGATGATAATATATCAAAATCACCTAGTATCACCTATGTGGAATAAAAAATTCCTAATTTTTTTTTTAAATGATCTTTAGTCAAACTATAGCCTTCGTAGAATTATCTTTTCTTAGACCACAGTGAGGCTTTATTGTAAAAATGTAATATATGACTATCCTCTTCATTTTTAAAAAATATATATTTTATTGATTTTTCACAGAGAGGAAGGGAGAGAGATAGAGAGCTAGAAACATCGATGAGAGAGAAACATTGACCAGTTGCCTCCTGCACGCCCCCTACCGGGGATGTGCCCACAACCAATGTACATGCCCTTGACCGGAATCAAACCTGGGACCTTCCAGTCCACAGACCGATGCTCTATCCATTGAGCCAAACCGGTTTCAGCTATCCTCTTCATTTTTAATCATTAAAACTTAAGTGGCTTTTCTTCTACATTTCTCATCCCTGAAGAGATTGGCAGTATTCCAAAATAGTTAGCTTTCTACCATTTAATGGTGGTAACTATAAAATTATATTTAATATTATTTTTCTTTCTCTTTTATGAGTATCTTTACCATTTTGTTTTACTCAGTGAACAGTGTTTTCTCCCATTCACTGATTGATTCTCCCATTCCGTGATAACACATGATTTTGCAAGATGCTTTGTTGGCAAAACATATTGGTTTATCAACACTGGATATAAAATTCCATACTTAAGCCCTGGCCCGTGTGGCTCAGTTGGTTGGTGTCATCCTGTGCACCAGAAGGTTGCTGGTTTGATTCCCAGTCAAGGGCATATACCCAGGTTGCAGACTCCATTCACGATAGGGGTGTGTAGGAGGCAGCTGATGGATGTTGTGTTCTCACATTGATGTTTCTCTTCCTCTCCCTCTTTCTTTCTTCTCTCCCTCTCCCTCTCCTTTTCCATCTCCCTCTCCCTTCCCTCTCTCCCTCTCCCTCTCCATCTCTCTCTCCCTTTCCTCTCTTCCTCTCATCTCACTCTCTCTCCCTCTGAAAATCATTAAGCTAAAAAAAAAATTAATACTTAAAAACAATTTTAGGAGATCAGAACATTATCAAAATTATTTAGATCTAGAATACTTAAACCAGAGATTACCCTTAATGCTTCCTAGTATTTTTTAGGAAATTAGTAGTCTATGGAATGGATTATACATGTCAAAAGGTTTGCTACTTCCCATGTATATTATTGTATATATGGAAATGATACCTACATAAAAATTAAATAGATGTGTGTTCTGGATACTAATCCTGTGTTAGTTACCTGTGATATAAATGTTTTCTTCCAATCTGTGACTCATCTTTTAACTCTGTTTATTATAAACCTAAAATATAGGAGTTTATTTTAGTGTATCCATTTTTTTAAATATTTTCCTTATTAATTTTGCTTTTGTATCTTTTAAAGAAATTCTTCTCTACTCCAAAGTCATAAACATGTTGTAATATATTTTTCTCTGAATGTTGAAGTTTTGCTTTTTATATCCCATCCTTTATGCCATCTAGAATTTATTTTTGTTTATGATATGAAGGAGGAATCTATATCATTTTTAATGGCAAAACAATTGGCCTCAGCATAGTTTACTGAATAGACCATCCTTTTTCTGATCACATATAAAGCAATCTTTATCATCTCCTATGTCACTTAAAATATATAGTTAGTTGACCCTTGAACAGCATGGGTTCGAACTGCACAGGCCTATTTATAAGTGATTTTTTTTTTTTAGTGAATACCTATAGAGTTTCTGATTCACAGTCAGGAATTTGTGGATGTGGAGAGCAGACTGCATTGATCTGCACCATTTCATATAGGGGACTTAAGCATGTATGGGTTTTGTTATCTGTTGGGGAAGGGAGGTCCTAGAATCAATCCCCTGCGTATTGCCAAGGGACAACTTAAGTTTTTGAGGAGTCAAAAACTATGCATGGATTTTTTATTCCACAGGGGTTCGGCACGGCCAACTGTATGTTGGGATTACTCTAACCCTCTTAGCTAGTCAAGGACTTTACTCCTATAATATTATTTACTACCAAATATTTCCCCCCTCTCTCCACTAGATTATCTTTTCAACAGTATTCAACATTCTGAAATATAATATTTCCCATCTTTAAAAAAAAACTTTCTTGAAACTTCTGCCCTCAAAGCTTCAGCACGATTTATCGGCTCTGTTTTGTCCTAGGAGGCCTCCGCATATCTACATCCCCATTTTCTCTTGTACAGATTCCAATCGAGATTTAATCCCATGCTGACATCTACCAAAAAAATGACAGTCCACCTCAGCCCAGGGATGTTTGTAGAACTCTGACTCACAGCCATTCCAGCACCCACCTCACTCTGAGGATGTGTTCTTGTTAAGCTGATTGGGAATCGGCACTGGTGCACGCCAGGACACAGGACTGCCCACGCGCTTTTCTTGGGTGGGGCAGGGGCCTGTGCCTCCTGTGACAAGGCGTCCGGTCTCCCCTGTGCCCTGCGCTCCCCACGCAGCTGTCCCTCTGCCTTTCCCAGCACTGGTGTCTTAACTCACTTTCCTCCCTAAATGCATTACTTGCATATCAAATTCTGTAAATGTTTTGTAAACCTATTACCTCACTCTTGGTAATTCAATACTGAGAGGCTTTACAAGATTTTTTTTATTGTTATCAATAATAAATGTGAGTTGTTTAAAGAAAATAAAAGATTTAATCCCAGTCACTTCTCTGAATTCCTTGTCCCAGTTACTAGTGACCTGCACTTGTTAAATGCAGAGGTCAAATCTCATCCTTATCTTATTCCTCCTCTCAGTAGCACTTGACATAAGTGATTGTTCCCTCTTTTAATGGAGACCTAGACACCAATTTATTGTAAACCTACACAAGTAGGATACAGCTATGAACTGACCCTGTTCTTAGCCTTCCCTGGAAAGACTGGCCTGAGTGAACCAGTTCCAGTACCAATGGGGGACCTGGCCGGAGATCGAAAGGAAGAAGGATATGTTCTTAAGCCATAAACTTAAAAACATGTAAGGAGGAACTAAAACTTGTGGAACATAATTTCTTTCCTGGCCTTGGAGCACAGAAACTGCTAAGGAAATTAAAGCAGGTTGACACAACTCTTAAATCCTCAGTACCTCTCCCCTCCCCCGATCAACTTAAAAGCATACAGAGGAGTTATTACACCACCCAAGGAGACATGTCAAAAGAACAAAATATTAATAGCAGAACGGAGCCTCTTCATGGCACCACTGGACCTCAGCAGAAATTCCCAGGAGTGGGATGCCCTGACTGGCCTCCAACATAAAACATTAAAAGATCTCAGAAGAGATCAGAGCCTAGGTCTTCAGCAGTTTTCCTCGGCCCAGCAGGAAGTTTTCCTGCCCCATGCCCTTTAGGGTACGGAGAAAAAAGCAAAAAAGCAACACCTATATCTCAAACTATCTGGAAAGAAATGCAAGTCTCCGATAAGAGAATATATAATAGAAAAGGGGGGAAGGGTGTTTTGTATACTGAAGAGAAATTTCAAAATATATGAAGCCAGTTTATAAAAGAAGCTCAAATAATGGATAAACTAAGAATGAGGTGAAAAGGCAGGAAACAAAATATACAAGGATCATAATAGACACAACAAAAAGGGAATTATTAGCACAAAGGAAAAATTTGAGATACAAAAAAAGCAACAGAAAGAGCTCAAGATTAGTCATCAGAAGGTAACAGATATGGAACACAGAGACTATCTAGCAAAAAGATAATCATGTTTCTGGAATGGAAAGCCTAACGGAGATAGAAAATAACTCTGGACTACTTAAAACAACACTTCCCTGGGTATAAAAATCTACCTGAAAATGTAAACATCCTCCTATGATCAGGAGAATATAATACAGAATGATGAATATTAACACATGCTGATAGTTAACATACAAAAATTAATT